AGCTGGCTGAGGAATTCTGGGAGTTGAAGTCCATAAGTCTTAAAGTTGCCAAGGTTGGACACCCCTGCTTTAGGCCCACTTTACAATTTCTCATGCTAGAAGCCTAGGCCACTTTGTAAGAACAGCACCGATTCTCTTCAGTTTTGAGTTCAACTTGCCGGATAGAACAGAAAACAGGGTTATAAAAAAGAGACAGTGAAATCTCATTTTTTGAATAATATAGCCTTTTGTTGAGAAAAATTAAGATATATAGCTTTTAACTTTGCCTCAGCTACAATATTCCACATTATTCTTTACAACCTATCATTAGAGAGTTTAGGTATTTTCTCAGATGAGAGGTAAAAATTAAGGGTATCTCTGTCATATATATATTCTCATGATTGAACAAGGGGTTGGATTAGAAGATTTCCAAATGCCTCATAACTTCTAGAACTTGCTTTCTAGAATAAGATTTGTAATGACAACTGGCTTTTTAATACATTAACACAGTTGACTGAAATTCAGGGAAATAAATTGGCAAGTGTAACATATACTACAGCTAGCAACATATACTATAGTTATAGAAGCATAACATTTGATAAACTAATTTTCCTAATTCTTAAGGGAACTCTGGCGCATTTCATGTTCTAATGCTTGCATTTTTATATTTTGTCTGTCTAACTAGCTACAGTCTCTCTTCCTCTCTCTCTCTCCCTCCTTCCTACCATTTATATCTGAGAATTTGAAATGCAAATTAGATGGGTGCATATGTACGTTCTGGAGCTGTAACTTGAGTGTAGAATTATTTTCATTTAGAAACAAAGTGACATTGATACCTTTTTCCTTCTGCATTTAATGTAGCATTTGATTTAAAAAATAAAAATAAAAAAGCTTTTTGAAATTAGTATTTGAATTGCAACTGCCCATAATTTCTTTCCTTCTTTAATAAAAAAGTAATTAAAAGTGGTATTAAAAGTGGTATTATACTGCCCCATTCTGGACAGATGGAATGAATGCATCTGTGTAATAACTTAATATATACTGATTAATCTATAACTTTAAAAAGAACATGGATCAGCAGTCCAATGGGATAATTTTCAATCTGGGACACCTGCCTTTAATCAATTAAAATCTATAGCAGAGACTTTTCCAATTTGGCTGGGGAAAAATGGAATAGATTGCCTTAAGACATAACTGCATCATGAAGTTCTGCTGCCACTTCCAAAGGCCTCCTCAACAAGTTCTTGACCCATTTTTTGAGAAGTAACATAGTAGAGAAAGGCCTCAATGATATATACTTCAATGACATAGATTCACAATGCAGAACTTTATAAGTTTAGTATGTAGCAACTCCAGACACACAATTCTGACCCTGCAAATATTTTGGATTTATCCAGTATTTTCAGTTAAAAGTAAAGAAATGCAGAAGTTCAAGTTTCAAGCATCTGAAAGCCATCTGAAAAGGTAAGATATAATAAGGCCTCCAAGGACTTTGCAAGGCTATATCAAGTATTAGGCATAGGGGTGGGATCCGACCGGTTATAACCGGTTTGGAGAGCGCACGCGCACTACCAGCTCCGGCAACCATTTACTTTCTCCAGCTGACGAGTGGCACTCAGCTGTGTCACGCAAAGCAGCTGAGGAGAAAAACGCGGCCACTAAAGGACAGCCTAGAGCCCAGGTGGACCAAACAGCAGACCAAACCCTCATCCCAGCAAACTGGTTTGGTGTCAGTTGTTCTTTGGAGGTATCGGTTCTATAGAAATGGACCGAACCGGAGGGATCCCATCCTTGATTAGGCAAATATTTTGAGCTGGCATAAGGCAATATCCTGTATCCTTAGGAACAAATAGTAAAATGTAAATTGCTTTTTCTCAGGGTTTAATTTCCTCCACATGTCTATCAAATTTAGTTCAATCATCATTTCTTCACATGTTTTCAGTAGTTCTCTCTTTTTTTTTTTTTCGCCCCACTACTGTGATCTTTCTGGTGGTCCACAATAGCATTGAAATCCCCCAAGATGCAAATATTCCTTTTATCTAATTCCACTAATTTCCTATATAATTGTTTAAAAAATACCTTTTGGTTATCATTAGGGGCATAAATTACCACTAGTAGAATTGGAATTGACTTAATCTGAATTTGTAACACCAGAATTCTTCCACTGGGGTTCTATCCAAATTGGCTCTGCTTCCATATCGGCTTTCACATATACTGCTAGCCCTTTCTTTTTCCTAAAATCTGCTGGCGACGTATATAAATTCCCTAGCTTGGGGCATTGTAGATACTTTCCTTCTTCCTTTCTTATATGAGTTTCCTGTAAACATATTATATCTGCATTTTGTTTACTTAATTTGGTTAATATTCTTTTCCTTTTTTTCCTAGAGTTTAGGCCATTTATATTAATTGATAGTATTTTCTTTTCTTTGTCCATCATCTAATTGACTCTTGCTCTTTGTCTTGTAGTTACTCCTGTCTCTCTCTGTGGCTGATTGTGCTTCTTCGGTTATTCTCTCTCTTGATGTTGTTTGTTTTTCGAATTCCTATGATTCCCATCTCTATTATTTTGATAGTCTTGGTCGTCTTGCAAATTCATTTCTGATTCGTCTCTACTACTTGATTCTTCATGGCCTATTGATTGTTCATAGAATTCTTGGGCTTTTTCCACTTTAATTTTTCTTTCTTCCCAAGTGATTAGCATTCCCCCTGGGATTAGCCCTCTGAATATGATCCCTTTTTGGTTTAATTGGTTCGTCAAGAATTTATAATCTCGCCTCTGCTCTCTCACTCTTCTTGGGATTTGTTTAAGCACCAAGATTTCTCTTTCTTTGAATGCAATTGTTTCTTCTCTAGAAATTTTGTATATAATATCTCAAACTTTTTTTCTGGCAAATCTCACATGGACCTCTTTTGGATATTTATGTCATCTTGTGTAATTTGTGCTCACTCTATATACTTCACCTAACTCTTTCAGAATATCGTCCTTATCTTTTTCCAATAGGTCTGCTACTATTCCAGCCATCACTTGTTCTAAGTCCTCTTCTTTAGATTCCATTATATTTTGGAATCTCAGATATGCTGCAGCCTTGTCCATTTCCAGATATACCAAGAAGTCATTCATTTCTTTACTCACATTTCTTAATTGCTCACCGACCATTTCCAGCTTCTTTCTGTTCTTTTCTCAACCTCCTTTATTGTCTATTCATTCCTTTCTAGTGCTTGCTGTATTGTTTCAATTTTTTGATCCAACTTTAAGATGTCTAATTTCATTCTTGCCTTTAAGTTTCTCATCTCTTTTAGTTCACTTGTGTCAGTTCTTGTTTTGGTATGATTTTTCACCATTATTTCCTGAAGCGTCAGCATGGACTCTTGTAAAGTGAGAAGGGTCGATTGAATATTGGCATTCGTGATGGTAGGTTGTTTTTCTCCAGGTAGAGTTTCTTCAATTGTCTTTTGTGCCACCACTGAGGTTGATGGAATTGGAGTTGTTTGTATTGAAGAAGTCTTCTTTCCAGTTTTAAGCGTTGTGTTAGTGATAGAGGTCATTTCTTGTAAAGACCGTCATTTAAATAGAAATCAACTTCCAATTCAAGGAATAAAAATCTAAACGAATATCCTTTATAAGCTTACAGAAGACTCTGGCACTTTCAAAGAAGCAATCTAATTTCTTAGGGTGCAGTTTTAACCCCTCATAACTCCATGTTGAGTTATGAGATAAGGATAAGGATATACCCAGAGATAAGGATATACCCAGTCAATATGCAATGAAGGTCATTTACACCAATGGTGATCAATTCAAACTTATATTCCATATTTGGCCTCAAATTCTCCAAGCTTTCACTGCCTGAAGTCAAAAAGACCTTTTCCTCTATTTTAATAGTGTAACTTTCTATCCTCCCTTTAAATATTATACCTGAGAATTAGGATATTTTCTGTTAAACTCTCCATATAGCATGGCAAGTTGCTCTGAAGAGGGTAATCTCTATACTACTAAAACTCTAATTTCTGTAACTGGCCGAAATGGTATACCTCAGGGCAAAACTTTTTGAACCAAAGTACAACCATGGTCAAATGGACTAACGGAATACATCCAAAATACAGTATCCATGATGCCCACAGAATTAAAATTTGGCAAATTTTATAAATGTCATAAAACATTTCCTGTGCTGAAGTTTCACTGTGTAACCGTTCAACACGGATCATTTTCAAGGCAGATACATCTTTGAATGTACCCCAAATTTTCTAGTGTGGACAATACATTAGATGTCTGTCACTGCTAAAGACATTGAGGAATCTAGTAAGGAAATACCTCTGAAAGTATGTCCTAATGGGTTGCCCAGTATCCTCTAAATTGGGATTAAAAGTGAATGTTGTTAGTTCCATCCACCTGCACCAAGTTTTAACAATCTTGCACCTTTAGATCTTGCTCTATATCCCAGATCTTTCTTAATGATTTCCTAATTTTCTGAACAAGCTTGCAAAGGGAAAATGTGGAGAAGAAAGAAGAGAAAATCTCATTTTAGGCATGGGCCTTTTTTATAGAATACTTCTTTCTATAGAAAGTTCAAGTCATGGGAAGGTGTAACAAAGATCATAGTTTCATTGTATTTCATTCTCCTAATGGAGGATCTCTGTTGGAAAAGAACTACCCAGAGGCACACAAGTATGATGCTACAGAAATTGAATACATTAAATTAAATAAAAAAAATTGCAGAGAGATTATCAACAGGGAAAATCTTGAACAAGGACTGTAATCTGCCAATAAAGTTTTTATTTTAAAAATAAAATAAAAAAATATATACTTAAAAAGCTTTGCTTTGCAGGCTGAAGACTAAAGTGGTTTCTTGGTGAATATATATCAGAAAAGAACTTTGTAAAAATCCCACATAGTTGATACCCCCAGGCAGCAAAGCACATTTTGCATCCTGTGGTTTTGAGCACAGTAGCTATGCTATTTTATAACATATCATAAACCCAGCACAGTTTAAAGATAAACCTTGGATTGATTGTCATGGCATACTTTGGGAAAATAAGATCCAAAACACAGATGTCATCCATCCAGTTTATCACAATTAAAATAAATGTATTAATATATTAAGTCTTGTAACAAAGTGGATATGTGACATCTGTGTTCTGGATCTTATTCTCCCAAAGTATGCCAAGACAATTCATGAAGTCTAGATTCTCCCATTTCCTAAGTAATTCCAAGAAATATGAAAGTCAGAAAAAAACAGACTAAGGAGAAGCACACAATAGATACAAACTCAAGGTTAACCGCACCAAACTTGATTGCAGGAAATATGACTTCAGCAACAGAGTCGTCAATGCCTGGAATACTCTACTTGACTCTGTAGTTTCTTCCCCAAACCCCAAAAACTTTCACCTTAGACTGTCTACTATTGACCTCACCTCTTTCCTAAGAGGTCAGTAGGAGGCGTGCATAAGCGCACCAACGTGCCTACCGTCCCTGTCCTATTGTTTCTTTTTTTATTCATATCCATTTCATGTATTCATAACCATGCTTATACTTATACCTGTTATCTTATAATCGCTTGACAAATATAAAATAAAATTAATTAATAAAATAAAATATAAAATAAAATAAAAAAACCTAGAGCTAAGGAGAAATTCTCCTAGCAAGTGAGAACAATCAACCAGTGGAACAGTTTGCCTTCAGAAGTTGTGGGTCCTTCATCACTTTTTATTTTATTTCATTTATTTGTCGAGCATGTGTTAGATAACAGATATAAGTATAAACATTATTAATGGGTAAGAATAAAAGGGAACATTAGGACAGGGGTGGTAACCATGTTGGTGTGTTTATGCATGCCCCTTAAAGACCTCTTAGGAATGGGGTGAGGTCACTGCAGGCTTTTAAGATGAGACTGGACAGTCTTTTGTCTGAAATGATACATGGTCTCCTGCTAAAGCAGAGGGATAGACTAGATGACATCCAAGCTCCCTTCCAATTCGGAAGATGTTCTTTTTCCTATCCTAATGGATGGGTAATGTCTCTATGGGATCTCCCAGCAGGCTCAGCTACCCTCCAACCCACAGAATCCCAGTACCTCAGTAAAAAGTAAAAAAAAAAAGGGAGAAATAGTCACTTGAGTCCGTAGCATTCCTTGTTACAAATGGGTGGTGCTAAATGGATGACAATGACCAGATGCAGCCGTACTATTTTTACTTCATAAATATTAATTATTACCTGAGGATAACGAATACAGCACTATTCCATTGTTTCCAGAATCAAGGTCTTTGGCAGACAGGCTGGAAGTTTCTGAGTTTGTTTTGTAGTGTATTTATTACACATTTATGTACATAGTTTGGGTTTTTTTAAAGGGTATAACTGGTGTGTTTATTCATCTGTTGTTCTATATATGTGTCTAGATGTACAAAGGGTAATTTGAGTTTGAGGATAGTTTGCAAAATAACACTATCAAAGAACAGGTGTCTGTACACAATACTAATTATTTAAAGAATAATTAGCACTATAACTGCACTTCTACTATAAATAGAACATACTACACATCATAAGGCCCCTTTGGGGGCATTCTACCCCGGAGATGACTACTGGACTAAGAAAATCCCACCTGCTCATGCCTGCTCATGTTAATACTTACCTAGTTTTACCCAACTTCTGTTAATTTTGAATGTTTTAATTTCTTGTTTTTATAGTGTAGGCCACTCAGAGTCAATAGCAAATGGGTGACATAGAAATTTAATAAATAAATGAGCAGTGTAAGTTTTCCACACAGAATGGATTGTTCAAAGAAACAGCTTTTTATTATGCAGAACCACAAGTTCTAATATTTTAAACCTTAGCTGAAAGCAATATCGGGCATCATTTTGTCTGATGTGAAAAGTTCAATACGCTATGTAATCGCCCAAAGGTTAATTATTTGGAGCGAGTTCTCAATAGGAACAAAATACTACTCTAATTAAAATGCTATTGTCAGAAATTGCAAATATGACCAATATTAGGGTTTAATAAAAATACTTTATGCCCATTCTTTCACAAATAGTAGCAACTTTATTCTACATTTATACCGCATGCTAGCATACATACAAGAAACTTATTCTATTTTAATTTCCTTAAAAATAAAAACAATGCAATTAAATTACAAGAGCCTACATTTCTATTTATCTACAGTTTGGAAGCAAAACCAGCCAGATGACAAAAATGGGTATTTCTACAAATTCGGAATGGACCATTCCATTAGATATGAAAACACTGTTTGAATTCTAATCACACTCTGAGGTATGCTAACAGGAATCATACAATCTTTTTCACTTCAGCGTGATCTAAACTTCCTGATTTTGAGGGATCTATCTCTATGAATCAACTTGGAACTCATAATCTGAAAAAGAATAATCTTAACATCTGATATTTCTTACCTAAAAGATATTATTCACTGCAGTATAGATCCACTCATTAATTTTAGTTGCTATTGTTTCTCATTAGAGCGGAATAATATACACATTACTTGGAGATAAATTTCATAGAATGGCATGAAACTTACATATAGTCCTTGTTTCTTTCGGGGAAACATCCCTCACCAGCATTTCAATGGTACACTTATCAATTACCTGCATTGATTTGGAAGAGGTGATTGTTTTAAAAATACTTTTCATACAAAAACAATCTAAATAGTTTATTATTGTAATAGTCTTGCCATAGCCAAGGAAATAAATAGTCCCCTTTAACCCACTTTCGTGTAGTGGTTGACTCAGTCCAACTCATTGCCTTTAACAATGGCAATTATGATAAAGGCAGAATAAATGAAACACATAACAGAATCTGTATTTTCCCTTTAAATAAATGTGAAAAGATCACTTTGTGCTTTAAAAATTGTTATGAAATCAAACATTACTATATCCCTGACAAAATTGTCCAAGTGGCAGTTTTATCCTTAAGTGCCAAGGAGAATTTATAGAGCAAGAATTTTTGTCCACCACAGTATAGACTGAATGCACCTCAATATTGTAAAAATATAGGATATTTTCCACTCTTGTGGTTCTGATTATCATCCAGAAATGATATCCAAAAGAAATGTAGTCGTAACATTATCTTCGATGATCATCATTTTACTGACAACTGAAATTGTGCAAATCAAGATTTATTATAGTTCTGATATTCCTTAAGATGAATATCCTCATAGTAACTGAAGTAACCATTGTACAGCTTATTCCCAGTTCCTAGTTTTCTCTGGATTGTTTTAGTACCTTGTAAAAATCTTATTAGAAATTGACCAATGATTTCTAAAAGCTTTTCAACAAATTTATGTCAAATCGAATTAGGTTGGAGTGTGAGATCCTTCTAGCGAGTAGTTTTGCAGCTTACCCCTTTGGAAGCTATCCTTGCGGGGTTTTTGGGGTGGGTGGATGTACTCTATATACTTGCCCATTTAACCATCCTATGTATGGCTCCTGGAGAATAAGGTAGTATTTTAAAAGATTGTTTAGAATGTGGCATGAGTTGCTGTTCCTTGGAATTTCTGGAAGATTACACTCAATTCTGGAAGATTATGCTCGAATTGAAAGTTCCCATTGATATAAAGATCTGGGCATCGTTCCTGAGATTAGCTCCAGCTCATTGGTCTGGGGCACAAATTTAAAAAAAACAAACCATGGTTACTTTCTGAAACACTAGAATATACCGATTTACTTGACAAAGCTTCGGAGCACCCTGACCAAGTTGCAAATGTTATGAAGTCTTTCCAAACAGAATATCCCTGTTTTCAATTAAAATGTTAGTATCAGGTACTCAACATATTAAACAATTGTTTTTAAGTGGAAACATTTTGAATGTGACCCAAAGAATCAAACATAAGGAAAACAGCTTTTAACATTTTTCTGCCAATATATGGACCAAAAGAAAGTTTCTAGCGGAGATTCTTCTCAAATTGCACAAGTGAAACATTTAGTTCTTTTCTCCCAAAATTCTCTAGTATGAAAAATAAAATAGCTATTAGCACCAGGAGATCACATACCTGTGATATGCTAAACTTGGGTTTATAATCTGTAGTTGATGTTTAAAAATATCGATGCAATGCAGTCGTTTCATTTAAGCCAGACTTGCACCATAAATTCCTAAGTCCTTTACTTGGTATTAAGTATAATTAATTATCTTGGTATAAATATAAGCAATAGATCACAGCTGCACAATGACTCCAACCTGAGTCAGGATATAGGGAAAAGTGGTAACTATTCCAATTTTTTTAAGGAACTTAAAATGTATCATCAAACACTTGTAACATATATGATCTTTGTAACAAAAGCTTTTGACAAACAATTGCATGTTTTTATCAAAACCTGCTCATTAACAGCCTCAGGTGTTAAATAGAAATTACACTAATTACATTTGTACCTCACAAATCAAGCATGCTACTGACATTACATGTGAATGAATACAAGCATACATATAATACATACTTCAAACATTTTTAGAAAGCTTAAGTGAAGACATTATATCATTTATATCCAACTTGTCTTCGTTATAACTCACATGAAAATTAAGGAGACGGAGGGGAGAAAAAGCTAAAGATTTCAATCTATATTAGACACACTCTTGAAGCAGTAAGCAAAATTCAAAACAGAAAGAAAAAGATGTGCAGGCTTCCTCTCACTCTCTGAAAAGCTTACAGAAGTCATGCAACTCAAAAGCAAAATTCAATGTTGTATGAAGGGCTGCAAGCCAAAATAGGGAACACTTTGCCACCACATTTAAGGTGTCAAATTGGCAGCCACCGGCCGGATGCGTCACACGCAGGCCACGCCTACTCCAGGTCCACGAATGGGAAAAAACTTCTCAAAAATATCATCACACGATGGCAACGGCGATTTTGACAGCCGTGATTTAAAGCAAAGTCCGCCGATATCCAAGGATATTTTATTTCAGCTGAAAAGCATACCTATTTCTGAAATGTATTCTATATCCTTTCCAATGTTATTACCGTTACGTTGTTTTTAAGCTTTCATAAATAAGAATGTAAAAATGGAAGAGACAAACATCAAATTATTTTTAAAAGGTTGTTTCAATAAAATTTTAATGATGATTCCAACATGGGAAGGCAAAAACAGAACCGTGACTCAAGCAGAATGATGCACATTCAACGTATGAGACTGCAGTTAAGTCTTCTATTTTAGAGGAAATGAAATGTATTGCATTACATCTTGACAAGCAGCACATTGTATTAAGGACGTGAATCATTACTACAATGGCTTTTGTTTTCCCTTGACGATTTTAGCATTCAGGGTCCCAGGACAGAGTAGTACATAATTTTAAAAAAAAAAAAAATCATCCAAATTTCAAACATTGCTTCTTCATCAAGAAGGCAGAAAAAAAAGAGCACTATTTTCCATCCACACAGAAAGACGTGCAAACATTTAATGGTTTACAGCTAACAGCAATCTACCATGTAACGTCCTCTGATTTATTATATATGTATAATAGCTGCAGCTGATTTTTCTAGGATGAGAGAAAAGATAAATTCCAAAAGATAGCATTATAGGAAAAGAAAAAAAGATAAACTCAAAAGAGAAGAAAGCAATACAAAATGTAAAGACTGCAAACTGAAGCAATGGCTTTAGCAATGTTTCGGCTATTAACAAACAGTTGGGATTATGGCACATCAATTGAAGTTTGGTCTCATTAAAATCGTTTCCTTTTGATGATTTCAGGTTTCCAGCTAACAGGATGAGTTTCTTCAGTCTGCAGAGATTAAAGAGAGAGAAAAGAGAGTTCTAGCCCAATTCTAACTTTGCATATGCTACAGTTACATATTTCCTAAGACTGGCTCTAGTGAATTTCTGAATACAATCCCAAATGTTATGCCAATTTAGACTACCTTTGGTCTTTCATATTTAGAACAGTCACTTGTATTAACTTCCCAATCAATCCCTAGCTGAGCAGACACTCAATGCCAGATCTTCTGTATCAATATTCTTCATTTGTTTTCAAATTTTAATGGGAACAGAAAGACACTATTGGTCCCACAAGTTGGTTTATTTTCTATTTCATCTCAAGTTATCCATGATTAACAGTTTGGGGAAGAATTTAAAGAGTCCAATTGAAATCTTTCACATAAACCATAGCATCAATTAAGAAACATAAGAATTACAATTGTTTTTGAAAGTGGGGCTCTAGTTTATATTTTCATTAATCTTATTTTGCTAAATAGTCTAAGAGTGATTTCTTGTCATTTGAGAACTACCAGAATTCGACCAGTTGGCTTGTTTTGATATATTCCTTTATATATCACAACATGCTGTCAGATTAAATGTAAAAGCAGGGTCATAAATATCATAAATTTACTTGGAAATAAATTCCACAAAACTTTCATGAGCAGATATGTGTAAAATTGTTCTATAAAGTGTAATCCGCTGCTTTTAAAATGCTGTCATAAATACATATTTTGTTAGCCAAACTGAATAAATATCTGACCACATAACTTTCTCACAGTTATTTTACTGAAACTGAAGAACAGGTTGCAAAAGCATTTATTTTATTCTGTTACTGGGAAGTTTCTATCAAGCAACTGAACTCAACTTATAAACTCTATTTTTTAAAAAAATGTTTCCGCTTGTGTAAAATGTTGTTTTTGAGCCTTATTTAATAAGTTTAGCCTTAAATATGCTTTTGAGATTAATTTTAGAATATGTGCATCTATCTTTAATCTAGTTTTATGCTGTAAAATGTTCTTAAAAAAGATTCCACCTACCGCAGAGTCATCTTCTTTGTAGACTTTTATAGTTTTATCAGCTTCAGCTGTAAGAAGTCTGCTTTCAGATTGGTCAAATCCACAAGCAAATATTCCAGATTCACTGTCCAACGAGCCAGGCTGTACAGCTGCATGCACCCTTTGGAAGTTGTACCCAGTTCTCCAATCCCAAAGGTGCATTGTACCGTTGTCAGCTGAAAAATAAAACACTGGCATATTCATTCAAAGTTACAATTCAAGTATATAGCACAGTTATTCCAAAGACTGACTATATCCACCATATTCCAGATCTGTTTGCATCCACACAATTCATTTCTACGTAATAGGATTAACAATCCGTTTCTATTCCCTGCTGATTTCACTAGGATTGACTTTAGAAAAAATTAAACATTACAAGTGCACTACCAAGATGAAGTATTTGATTTTCCTATAATTTGTACTAATGCTACGTATGTGAAAATAATGCTTGTTATCTCCAGTTAATATATATTGCAGATAGACCTCTAGTCCTGGCCATTTCTAAGCACTGAGTTATATACATAATGGGAGCTATAGCCAAACGTAACACTATAGTACCTGACAACTAGAAAGCCCAGGAGAAAAAAAAAATTCCCATAATTCCTCTGCTAACATACTGGCACCAGATAGAAACCCTTTATATTAACTGTGTTTCTTGTTCAGGCTGAATTTACTTTAACATGTCTTCTGGTATACATATTTAAATGGGCTTGAATTTGCTTTTACTGAAAGCTGTCCTAAGAACATGGATGTATGATAGATACATGTTCCTTTAAATAGAAAAATATACTTTAAAAAAACAATGAACTAAGCATTGGGTGCTTAGGATTTTTAATTATTTTAATTATCCAGTCCCAAAAGAATCAAATGTAAGATGCTCCAAATCTATGTTTAAAGCAGTTTATAGCGCCAAATGCTGAAAAGAGGAATTACTACCCTGCAAACATCTATTGAAATAAGTGGATATTGCTGTCTTTAGGAAGAAAAAAAATGAAAAACTGCCATGATGCACATCAGCTCATTGCCCAGATCATATTTTAGCAAGTACCAGAATCCGAAGTAAATATATTCACTTTTGCCTTTATGTAGGAAAATCTTACAAGAGAGAAGCTGAAACTTTGGCAAGGACATTTTAAACTAGAAATGGGAAACTTGTGGATTCTCAGTGTCACAGCATTGTTACTGGTCACAGGTTAGCATTCCAATAATTAAGGGTCAAAATAGATCGGAAACCCGTATTTAATCCTTCCAGCACTGATATTCTATGTATATGTGTTCATGCTCATCATTAAATCTGAGAATAAGTTCTAAATAACCCCAGCTTTAGAATAGCACACAAAAAGTGCTGTATCACGAGACTTACAGTGACTAACAGCAAATTAGAATTTGTTTTCAAATCATATGCAATTTTTAACTTACCTCCAGAAACCAGGACTCCATCTGAGTTCACAGCCAATGTATTGATAATAGCACTATGGCCAGAAAGGTTTTGGATGAAATTTCCATCAGGGAATTTCCACTGTTTTATATTATCTGGAGATCCAGATGCAAACGTGTATCTGTAAGAGAATGTATATTAAGATCTTAATGGAATAGAATAGAATTCTTTATTGGCCAAGTGTGATTGGACACACAAGGAATTTGTCTTGGTGCAAAAATTATTGGATGTCTAATTAATCACGATTTAATTATTGGTTGTTAAAGTTACCAGGGTTTATTACAGTTTCAATGTTAAATTATTTCCTCTAAATTATTTTTGGTGACAAACATGGCTTTCCAGGTATTTTTGAATTACAGCTTCCAGTGATCTCAGTCCACATTATTAATAGTAAAATAGTAAACTCTTCCTCACTGATTTTAGTGAAACACAATCTAAGCAAGCATATACAAGATTGCAGTTTTAATCTTATGTACTTTAATCTTGTTATGCTGTATACAGAAACACAAACCTTCTGACTTCGATGAAGGAAAATTTCAAGCAATGACCAAAAGCTCACAAGGTCGTGTGACATTGCAATAATACATTGCTCTAATAGTTACAACTACTTCTAGTTGCAGCTACTAGAATAAATTAACTGTATTATTGTCTTAAATAGGCAGCACAGTATTGAGTTCATGACTGGTAGTCTGATTTATCTGTACTGAAACAGGTTATTTGCTTTTTTAAAAGCTTGTTTTATTAAAAAAAATATGGAACATCTTACTGTCTTGGATGCAAGACAACTGCTCTTACAGATTTCTTGTGATTTGTTAACGTGACTCGTGTTTTTCCTGCTACCAAGTCCCAGAGACGTATGGTGGTATCATGACTTCCTGCAGTGAAGAAAGGAATTTAAGAAATAATATAAATACTCTGACCATTCTTTATTTTTCCTTAATGTTTCTGTTTCTCCTGCATTTGAAAATCTTCCTGCTGTTTTGAGTTTTACTAAGATAATAAAGAGGATAGAGATACTGGTATTACTTTTTTTATTATTTGTCAATTGCTTACAAGATAATAGGGATAAATAAAAACACAGTTATGAATACATGGATACACATAAGAAAAATAAAAAGATATATAAAAGAAACAATAGGACAGGGACGGTAGGCACATTGGTGCGCTTATGCACGCCGTCTTCTGGCACCCCATACTACATGCTACAGTAATATAGATATCATACAGCATGCCGACGACAATTATGACTTGGCAAAACAGTACCCTCTCTGTTGTACTATAGCTCCAGAAAGTCCTAGGAGCCACAAACTGAACTGCTGCAGATACACATTGTAGTTCATTTGTGGACCTTATTCATATGGCCAAAGCAGTAAAGAGATGATTTTCTGAAAGACCTTTTCTTCCTTTGCAAGAGTTTTTCAAAACCTAATAAATCTATTTGCCTGTTGCGTAATAAGTATTAGCTGCAATCCAATAACTATTCTGAAAAGTATTCAAGATTCTCATACTCTCAGAGTATTTTTTTAAAGGCATTTATACTTGTTTATACCCAAAGATTCTTAGCCATAAGCAGAATTATTTAAAACATTTACATAATTGAAAAACTACAAATGCCCAATTAGAATGCAACAAATGGAAGCATTTTATTAAACCATAAGCCTCCGCGTGCAAGTTGGCTACAGGACAAACTTACTGAATTGTGTTCTACTTTCACAAGCAGCATTAATCATACCTGTGATAATCTGTGGCTCTGCTGCTTGGCACTTCACTGTTGCCACAGCATTCGTGTGTCCTGACAACGTATGCACACTAGCTTTTGTTCTTACATCCCAGATCTAATAAGATCATAAATTTAAACAATTAAGCACAACAATGCAGAGGTAATAAATAATCTTTATCAAACAAACATTACCATTTGCATATAATTATGAGCTTATCACTTAGGATCCTGCTGTTCTTACTATCACTTACGAACCCCCACGTACAATAAGAACAGTATTTCTGTAGGAAAATAACAGCAACGCACACAAACCTCCTGCCACTGGCATGGTTTGTTATTGTAAGGAGCAGAACTGAAACTGCTCAGCTGCCTTTGAGGAATAAACCATGCATTACAACAGTTTGCAGCCCGCAGGGACCACTCTTATTTCTACTCCAAACCCTTAAAACAAAAAAGTATTAAACAGTACTCCCCAAATTTGGTTATTTTGCAGAAGTATTTTCAGTGGTACAATCCTGGGATGCTGGGGTTACAAATGCATCAGATAATTCCCTTTCCATGTTTAAATGTCATTCTTATTTGATTGACTGGAATTAGTAGATTCTGAAGATTTTTAAAAGGGAGTATAAATAGCTAATGACAAAAAAAAATCACATTAGTTTCCACAGGGAGAAAGAAGTTTGTTTTTTTAAAAAAAGGATATAAAAATTTCTGTTTTACTTACACGTGCTGTTGAATCTCTGCTACAAGTTACAAGCACATCTATTGTTGGATGCAAATCCAAGCCATACACTGCACTTAGGTGGCCATGGTAATGCCTAATAACCTGGCGTAAACATATTACAATCAGTACTGAATGTCCTATCATCATTACGTTGCTGAAAGATTCCAATTGTTTCAAGTTTATTTAGTTACCTTATTATATTCCAGATCCCAACATTTCACCTGTTTGTCTTCCCCACATGAGAAAAGGTAAGGACTTCTTGCACTGACTATCACACCTCGAACTGTACTAATATGACCTGTTAGAGACAGTTTTAATTTGCCACTTGCCAGATCCCAAATCTGTAATGAGAAAAATACTTCTCTGATGTTCTTTGAAATAAAACACACAAACGTCTCTTATTTTAATTCAGCAACATCTCAAAGATCTTAGTAGAATACAAAATACATTCCTTCATGCTGGCAGAAAGACTGGAAAAATAGTTTACTATACTAATTCTAGTTAGGGAGTACTAACACACTTAAACAATAAGCAACGGCCTAAAGGCAAAGATAGAAGATAATAAAATATACTGAAGTGATTATTACTAAAGCATTATTTGAAGTATATTATAAAAATAATAATAAAAAAGTACAATTAAGTCAGTACCTCACCTTTATAGTCCTGTCAGCAGAGCCAGTAACAAACCACTGATTTCCTGGTTCAACTGCAATACATCTCACCCATCCCAAATGTCCACTGATAACCTGCAAAAGTTACAGGATAGTTTATCCATTTAAATAAAATATCAACCCTGACAGCTTAAAGCAGTTACATATGGTAACAAAATGTATGTTTGGTCATTTGGCTTCAAATTTGCCAGTAACTGTAATGTTGCCAAATTTCAATTAATGATTAAGAGGTTCCAAAAAAAAATTGCAAAATCCATAGGTGCACTAAATTAGGATTATCATTATGTATAAATAGACTTAGATATCACTCTTTACAGCACACTCTGGGCTATTTACCATGCCAGCATATTTCCCTCAACAATCCGGGTCCTCATTTTACCAACCTTGGAAGGATGGAAGGCTCAAGGCTGAGTCAATTTTGAGCCAGTCAGGCTCAAATTCCTGCAATGCTGCATTCTCACTACTGAGCCACTGGGGCCTCCTAGAGCAAATCCATCCATGATCACCAATTCGTAGACTATGTAATTTCAAATTTTACTTGAAGTAACATTATTTTCGTTGCTGCCTTCTAGGGCAAATTCCTTTCCAACACATTTTGTCCAAATAGTCCATAGAGCTAGATTAAAAGTGTCAGTATCATATTAGTTAAACTTCAGAATTTGGAGCTGTGGTTTCTCCTCCCGTCCCCCCAAGTTGCATCATTTTCATCTTTTTAAGTTTCCTTCTTGGTGGTATAAAGATAAATTGTCCGTATCTTTGTCCAATTTTAAAATGAACTTGTGTTAATCTTTTCTGGACTGTAGGTGCTGCCTTGTCTGCTATGGTTTTCACATGATTTTGTAGAAGTATCTAGTTAACTAATCCAAGAGGCAATAAATGAGTAAGCCAGTTACTGTGTACATGAGGGTAATGAACTAGATTCTTCTAAGGGGCTCTACATACATGTTTCCATGACATTCTGAAGAATGAGAGCTTAAAAAAAATTAGTCCCACTTACTCTGACAGTTCCGCCAATAGTATTCCATGCAAGACCATGCTACAGTATTTGAACTAAAAATAGTTGGAATTAGATTCCAATAGATTCTACATTAAGCTGTTCTTGCAAGATTCTCTGCTACTTTAAAGTGATTAGAAACATCACTTCAAATTTTAAATAAGTCACAGAAATTGCAATTCAGTTATGATTTACTGGAACAAGATAGGATAAAAATATGATATGACCTTGATTCAGTCAATAAACTTTAATCAGAATGGTGCTATTATATTTATAGATGTTTCCAACTTACCTGAAACATACTGAAGTAGGACTGATAGTAACTGAACTCAAGATCAGAATAGGCTTATTCTTCTAATAAACCTCAGCATATGGTTTTATATTCCCATCTAAACTAGTCCAACATTTAACAAACTATTTATCCGCCAATAAATGCTTCTAATATATTTGCTACTTACTCTGTATAACTTCCATGGTGGATGCCACTGTGGTTTTGGCATTGTTGGAGCCTTTTTTGCCATTAATGCAGAATTTTTATTCCCACCAGTTTCCATCATAGCCTATAAATTGAACAAACATGACATCATATATTTTTCTTCACTGAACTACTTTCACATGGGCCTATAATTCTGTCACAAAAATTCTATGCTCTTTCTAGCTCATTAGAAGACTAAATATAAAACCTGGTTAATTTACACAAGTGAAACTTACCATAGTCAAACCTGGAGGCTGTGAACGCTCAGAAATCCCAGCATGTCTATATATATCACCTACGCTAGCAGCAGTTCTATTTGATTCTATTCTGAAATGAGAAAAATGAAAAAAAAAAATTAAAAGACTGCTGATTTTGTAAATAATTGATAATACATCTATTTGAGAAAATCTGTGGAACATCATCACGCTAATGCAGAACACGTATGTTCAGATCACAAGCCAGCTAAACTGATAAGTAGCGACATTTTAATCATGACTATTAAATTCCATGGTATTTCATGAGCCTTAGGCTTTACCAACTTTTACTTTGCATCAATGCTTATCGTAATAGCAAAGGAAGAAACATGTCATATGTGCACATTCATTGAGACATGCATGGTTTATAATCTCTGTTGTTAATGGGAGAGTGAATGTCCGAAAGGATTCCTGGGGATAAGAATAAAAAGATGTCATTGCTGTCCCATTGATAAGGCCATCTACTTTGACTGAAGTCCGTCTACCAAGAATTAGCAGAAAGGGCGCAGGTCTTCTGGATATGGCTTCCTCCTAGATTAGTGGGATGGCTCCTTCTCTAATAATATTCAGAAGGGGGAATTAAAACACTGTTCTCTAAAAGTCTTCAAGGAATAAATTCATATTGTACTGTCATTGAGTAACTGATTTATCTGATCCTGTAATAGATTATTTTGGATTTTTTTTTAAAAAAACAGGAGACTGTTGTAATTGTAGCTTATTCTGCCAGCGACATTAGAATGAGACAGCACAGAAGACTAAGTAAGCAAATTGCACCCATCCTACTTGCATTCCTTCCTGGCTGGCCACTGGGGGAAAAGAATGCTGGATCAGACAGATTTGTCTTGGTATGGCTCCTCTTTCTTTTTAAGGTCGAAATTAATGTAGCAATAATATAGTGCCGAGCTGAAGTTAATTATCAGGTCATTTATTGTCCAATTTATTTCTTTATATTTTTAGGATTGCCTAGTTATCAGCAATCCCACACAGGCATACTTGAATGTAATTCCTATTAAACTGAAATGATTACTGAGCAGAAGCCGGTTAGGATTGTAATATTCGTGGATTGTGTCCTGGCTCATTCAGAAATCTTTAGACACTATAGAAGCTGACTTTCATCAAAATAACTTTTATGGCACACAAAAGCCACCAGAAACAGAAAAGATGTTTATTTACATACTGCTTCTGTTTTGCTGGTTGATTTAAGTCCCTGTTTTACTTATTTTCTTAAATTATCAACAGTAAATAACATCTTGCTGAACAATTACAAAGACCATAATCAAAGGGAACACACCATCATGAATCAACAAATACCACCGAACCACGTTTTGTAAATGAATCTGAAATGTTGTTTTGCTTTCTTAGCTGATTAATAAATAAAATATAATTACTTGGATTGAGATGGAGGCAGTGCCACAGCTAATGATTGAGATGCTGATTCACTAGGCATCCTTTGGATTTTAGTGTCTGCAGTCAGAGCCACTCCTTGTTTTTTTTTTTTTTTAAAAAGGAAGAGAATACAATTAAGAACAATAAAATGTGAACAACTAAATGCTTATTTATATTACTGATTATATAGTTAATACATGTACCATTTTTCATTTTGCAATACATAAAGGACAATGATCACTTCTCCAAGCAATTATGTAATCAGGGAAATCAAGGAAATTCTATGTGAAGTTTTTAACTGATAACAGACTTGTTATATATTGAAAGATTGTCCACTTTAATTATTATATTTAATAGACCGCTTTTTAATTTTGAATGCTTTTAATTCATTGCAGTCTAATGCTGTCACACAGATATTTCAACTGCTAAGTTTCATTAGTACTCAGCAAAAATAATCAGTTTTTAAAATTTTTAAAAAAAACCAGTTTCACAATAGTTTTGCAAGTTAAAATATTCATTCCATATAGAAGTTTGAAAATTCAGTGACTGGAAGCAGAGATTAAAAAACTAAAATCAGATTTAAAAATTTTGTGATTTGTAATGTATATAACACATGAATTTGAGTAAGATTTTTTTGAAGCTGTATAAAACGAGACAGAACAATCAAGAGAATTTGAGTAACTGAACAGGTAAGTGAACAAAAAGAATGTATTCCTAGTTTGAGAGTTTAAAAAGTATCTGGCATCCTGTTAATTGTCTTAATTCAAAGTATTCCAAGTAAGAAGTAATTCTGTTTGTTTGTCTCATTGTCTAAGAATGGGTAAATTCTTCCATTAGGTTGCTGAGCAGCTAAAAACAACGCAGAGGAGAATAGCAAGATGGTGAGTGGCTTACAGGCTAAATCTTACAACGACTTCAAAAACTGGGTATGTTTAATTTACAGAAGACAAAGTTGATGGGAGGCCCAAAACAGCCTTCCAATATTTGCAAAAGCTGTCCTACGAAAACAATATAGACTTATTCTACCCTAACAGTAGGACAAAAACCAGTAGATACTTGGTTTAATTATTTACAGAGAAAGATCCAAATTTGAAGAACTTTTTTTTTTACTGTGAGAACTATTAAGCAGTGGGACAGAATGCCTCCTGGATAATGTTTGTATCGTTATACCGCACCTTAATATACAATGGCATCTTCCTTAAGATCCTCTTATAGAATACTACAGAATTCCACCTAAACGTAATTGTATTTGGCAATAAACTTACTCACCAGGTCCAGGAGGATATGGATGCGTTCCTGTTATCAAATAATCATTATCTTCTCCTAAACATTAAGAGATGTATTAAGTCATTTATAGAAGAGTAAAAACAATCATTTAATGATGATACAATTCCTGTCATGATTCCAAGCTGCAACCATCATTTGGATTTCTACTGAATAATTAATGTAGAAGAATCATGCATATAGTTATGCATACGGATATGTGTATATGTATGTAAAGACATATCTGAATATCTGAAAAGCTCAGGAGGAGTTTAGCAAAGATGTTAAACATATTCTGAACAATATCTGGAGGTTCAAGAAGTCTTCATATTTGAAATGATACTTCTTTCTTTTAACCAGGAACATATAGACTTCACCCTATAGGAACTACTTTATTTTGACTAGAATTTCAAGAACATTGACTGAACTCAGATGAGAAATAATTGTTTGAACAAATGGACATAAGTTAAGAACTCACGAAGACTTTCTCTCTACCAACAAGAACTCATCCCAGCCACTTGTGATTAGTGGTGGAACCAAATTCATGTTCTGAAAATAGAAATTACCATCAGTTTTCTTTTTTATTAATTTAACTTGAAAACGCTTTTAGTTATTACACTTTTCTACATAGCTGGTAGTCAGATACTCTGCCAGTGTATTTTAAAATACCTAGACATCTCTTATTACATTCTGATCTATATTTAATTATCTCTCCCTTAAATCAATGGCTCAAGTCAATGAAAAGTCTTCAGGCAGTTACAATTCACTGTTCTTCAGCCAAAAGGGAACTCCCTGTTTAAAAGTGGGATACAAATCCAATAAAACAATCCTAAGCATCTCTACAGTTACTATCATCTGATGGCGACCATATGGTTACAAAAGGTGTTTCTTGAACGTTCAGGATTATTAAAGCCATATCTGTATCCACCACCTACACACTTGCACACGTGTCACTGTCACCTACCTGGATTTTGGAGATACTGCTTGTGTCCATAGGACTCGACTATACCATGGGAACCCTTTTCTCGAGCACATTCCTTCAATACAGGCATATGTAGCACAGAACCATACTCGGTACGGAGTTTAACTGCCATCTTAACTTTGTGGCTGCACAAAAACACACTTTATTACATCCTTGTTTTTTATATATGTTTTACTATAGTAACACTGTACCATGATAGAGAGTCATATATTCAGAGGTTCAGGTAGTAAAAAGCCTGATGTAAACATACTTATGCCATGCGGTAGTACACATTTTTTTTTCCAATACAACTTTCCTGTATTTTCTGAATTTGAATGAAATGCAAAAAGCAATTCGGATTATTTAACATGAATAACTTGAAGTTTCTTAAACCATATTGATTAAGGGGAATCATTCCATTTTTCTATGGTATATAGCTCTGAATACAGGACTGATTCAAGACTTCAGGAGTCAAGCTAGGAACAAAGCCAGTGGTAGAAACTAAACTGAGGTAAGGAAAGAGAAGCATTAGAAAGATCAGTAGGGGTGAGGGGAGCTAGCTGCTACTGTCCTTGGTTTCAAGAAAAGTATATACAAAAGGCTAGCTCACTTGGTCCTCAAGACAGCATTCCTGTCCTTTCCTATCTTCTGACCGCCTTGGCTTCAAATATGGCATAAGGGAAGATGGGAGGAATCACTGGACAGACGGAGGAGGCCAGGTCAGTTAGATATGCTGCATTTGAAGTCGCTCAGATGGTGGCTTAGCTCAGTGGCTTAAGATGCTGAGCTTGTTGATCAAAAGGTAACAGAGTGAGCTCCCGTTACTTGTCCCAGCTTCTGCCAACCCAGCAGTTTGAAAGCATGTAAAAATGCAAGTAGAAAAATAGGGACCACTTTGGTGGGAGGAGAACAGTGTTCCGTGTGCATTTGGCATTTAATCATGCCAGCCACAGGACCACGGAAAAGTCTTCGGACAGTGCTGGCTCTTTGTAACAGAGATGAGCACTGCTCCCTAGAGCCAGAAAAGATTAGCACGTATGTGCGAGGGGAACCTTTACCTTTAACAGTAGGACAGATAGGAAACGGAAAGAACTCAGAAGATCAGTGTATGAACCATAATGTTT